GCATGAAACTTAATGACAGGAAAAGTAAAAAACTTAAAGGAGACTTTATAGAAAGAAAGATCACCCTTACTTGCTACAAATGGTTGAAGACATCAACAAGAAGATCAATCTGACCATGGAATCCACATGTTGTCTGATCATGACTTTAGTAGTTCATCTACTGAAACGTAAGAATTGCAATTGAACTCTATTAGCATTTGAAAAGGGAATTACGGTTTCAGAGAAAGACGACGAAGGGTTTAAAAAAAAAAATTGGACCATTTCTTGATTTGTGAGTGTCATCCTTGCGTAGGGGCCATGCTAATCTTCTCTGTATCGTTTCAATTTTATCGGATGTCCCCGAAGGGACGACTATAGATGAAGAGCTTCGCCATATAGAGGAGTAGCAGGTTCTTCTTCTCGTCGATATGGGACGACGCGAGTTCTAAACGAACTAGTTTACTGTTGATGGTCATATATTCTCAATGTCTTTAAAATTAGGGTTAATGACTTAGGAGGGTAATTAGGTTTCCATTTTATCCGTATTAGGTCACTAAGGTTTTTTTTTTGTGCGTATTAGACCAATATGGTTGTTATTACTGTTTAGAAACTATTTCTAAACAGTAATAACAACCATATCGGTCTAATACGCACAAAAACAAAAAACCTTAGTGACCTAATACGGACAAACTGGAAACCTAATTACCCTCCTAAGTCATTATCCCTTGTTTTTAAATAGCATGGATTATATTTGTAGAAAAAAAAACTAGACTAACATCTGTAAAGTGTAACCTACAATAAAAAAACTGTTTGTTTTTTAAAGTATTCTGCTAAAAAAATTAAAGTTTAATTAAACTGATTTTTTTTAAACTTAAAATACTTTTTCATAATTTTAGTTTTACAACACTGAAATTTAATTAATACATCCACCATAACAATTTTTTTAAAGCCTTCATTCTTTATTTTGTGTTAACTGTTCAACAATTTCATGTATAAATGAATCATATTCTTGGTCCGTTGCACTACTATATGTCGTCTTCACAATAATCAAACATGGTTATTTAGACGAGACGGTATGGGCACATCTCGTGCTCGTTATGCTGAGGTGGAACGCCATAACGACGTGGTAATGGGGGGAACACCCCCCTTCTCGTTTTTGCTCGTTAAGGGCGAAGCTTGTTGGTGTCACAACCGGAAAAAACGAGTTACTTTCAAACCTTTCCATTGACCAACCGTTGCCAAACGGGTATTTTTTTTTAAAAAAATTAACTATTAAAAAAATTCATTTACCCTATAAATACCTAACATTTTATAAAATTTTCACACAGTTTCTCTCCTTCTCTCTACATAATTTCAATTATCTTCAACCAACCGTTGCCAAACGGGTATTTTTTTTTAAAAAAATTAACTATTAAAAAAAATTCATTTACCCTATAAATACCTAACATTTTATAAAAATTTTCACACAATGTAACATCCAAAATTTTACGCCAAATTTAAACTTTTCAAGCATAAATAAAACCAAATAGTAATTGTTT